GCCTACCCCCATCTGTTTTCTCAGCTCAGCCGAATCAAGCCGATTTGTATACGTTTTTATTACTAAGAGCCGAATCGTTCGTAAAGGCACGGAAACCAACAATTACGGAATTCCACGAAATCTTTTATCAGCCTAACTGTACTTAAATTTCAAAGTGAAAACTTAAACCCTACTTTTATCTCATTAGCTGCGTAACAGAGCAAAAGATTTAGTAGTCGTTATTCACCTGCAAGAAATTCTCTTAGTGTCGCGCCCTCGGTTTTCCCAGCAATTATTCGGCGGCGTTCAATTTCTAAAAGTAACCATCGGAACGCGGAGCAGTAGTTTATTTCGCATGCCCTCTAGGGCCGCGTTCACTCACACGCGCTCACATGCGCTGGCATTTCAATTATTTCGGCTAGCAGCCCGTGAAACCTGTCGGAGTTGCAATCGTTTCGGTCCCATTATCGATCCATCTGTTGTTTTTCGAGCGTTCGATTGAATTTCTCTCTATACAGCTCAATACGTTCACCCTCTCCTATCCCTTGCTGTAACTCCACGCCCCAGAGGATTTCGCCTGTGGATGAATTAGAATTAATACTGTTTGGCCGCACTGTGAGAGGACAGAGCGGGCCGCCTTTTCATCATTTCTCTGTAAGTGTGTGTCTGTGATTAGGACACAATTAATTGGATCAATTTGGCTTCGATTCTTCAACCTGACAGAGTTTGTGCCGATGGAAACGGACTGGTAAAGGTGAGCTAGTTTGTTTTTTTCCTTTTCTTTATTTTGGTATATCAAATTAATAATAGTATTGTGTTTGTCTTTTTTTTCTTAGATTTATTTCTTTTAAACTGTCTTTACTATTTCACTGCACCCCGGTTTTTTTCTCAGTGCAACACAGTAACCGTGTTTGTAATGCCTTGTTTGGGCTCGTCTCCTTGTATTGGAAAGACATGATAGTACATACACTCTCGGTCCTTCTGCTAGTGTGTTATCTACCACAAAATCTGGGTGGACCCTAACATATTTACAAGCTTGCTCGTGTAAGAGGGGGACGGG